AGGTCAGGGTCATGATACCACCACGCGATCCTATCGGAGCAGCCCGACAGTCCCTTGCCTTGGCTCATGGAGGGCCGTTGTTACACCATTTCGGACTTTAACCTCAAAGGAGCCAAAGAAGGAAAAAGTAAGAACGGGATCCCGACGGAAGATGCTAGTCATACACGTGGACATCCACCTGTTCCCGCCACTGTAGTTCTTGGTAACATCCTTCCATGAGATGATACGCTGGAGGGGTCGTTCGGCCAAGCGATCATGTGCCAGTGGAAATTTGTGCTGTCTAAGACAGCGTACACTCACTACGTCTGCCATCTTCTGGTCACGCTGAAACAGAATTTTTATTGTTGGTCTGACCGTACTAATATTTAAACGGTCCAGAGTATGGAGATAAATTGAAATGCAGAACATAAGCGAGATAATGAGGTAAAGAATATGGGGTAGCTCCTTGCTTCCCCGCATACCAACCGATGATCATTGCCGACCACGGATGCTTTCCCAACCCAATCTGGCCTGTGGGGTGAGACACGTTCTAGACTATCCACAAAGTAGCAGTTTGCAACGAGCCTCAACGTGGAAATGTCTCCTTCTCTGTTCGCACCTGATCACACCCTTCTCAGAGTCCATGTGGCCGAAGCTCGATGCATCGTGAAGATCCCTCAACGGTCCGGACCTGCCATTTGACGTAGAACTGCCAGTACCCTGTAGAGGAGTGTATAATTATCCAGCCCATTAGCGATCTTTTTAATGAAGTGGGTGAATTAGTCTGTAGTGTAGTGCATATGGGTTGACATGTAGATAAGCATTGAGGTCATTCATTCTATGCATGTCCATTCAAACTATTCACATGCATACCAATCGATATTCCTCGCTTTGATGGACTTCCTTCACTAGATCATTCTCCAGCTCTATAAAAACATCCACCGGCCCCTCCTCCATTCTCATTTCGTATTCTTCCCCACTACGAGTGTCTCGAAAGATGAAAGCAATCACATATGGATGCTCTCAAATTGATATTAAAATTCAACACCGAGATTAGAGAATCTATTCATTGTCGTTAGTCAAAGGACAAATATATGATATATACGATTAGGCTATAAGGACTATCCACACGTAGTCAAGAACGACGCCTTTTACAATGCTAAGAACTACCATGGTTGAATATACCACACTCTCTGGCAGACATGCCATCTGAAGTGATGCGGTATCCCGTTCAGTACATTTAATCATGTCGCATCGGGTACTCTGTGCAATAAATTAAGAAATCTCTATTTAGCCTCCATAGCCATGGATTAGGTAACACACGACAAATAGCAGCCTATAGACAATGTGCATCTGACTACAAAGTCCGAACGGCCAGTTGCCTTGCTTATAAGCTTGAAATTATACGAAAAATTTTCCCTTGTTTACTCGATGGTGGCGTAGCAAACGAATGAAAGAAAATCGAGACATGAAAAGATATGGGCGAAGATAAACCGATATATTCCTAGCATACGGTCAAGGATGAACGTGGCTTGTGTGGACACTACTAAGCACAACGATACGATGATATTGGATCAGAGAATGCATCGCCAGTTCGGTCGATGTATCTCTCTGTCTTTTGGTGCAGACACCGGGAACATACACAGAAAGCTGGAATTTATAATCCTCATTATGGAATTCTATATCCGATGCCACTTGAGTTGCACAACGCTACAGAGCATCCGCAGTTAGCTGGTGGAAACGAATTATTGTTCCACTGAGGATATTGCTTGAGGTTGTGGCGGAAGAACTGCTGCCACCGCGATGTCGATGCAGCAACCAACCTTCTCCGGGGAAGCCGGAAAGAACGTTAAGCTCTACCTCCGTCAGTGCAGATTTATGTGGGCCGCGGCGGGCCTCGGGGAGGAGGAAAAGAAACAAGCCATCGCTACAGCCATGATGGTGGGTCTACGGGGTGGCGCCCGTCGATATGCGAAGTCAGTAGACGAAGATATCCAGGATGACTGAAAGCAATTGTCATTGAAGTTGACCGAACGATATCCCAAGCCGAAGAAGGAGGATAGGGTAGAAGTTGTCCTATGGAAGAAGCAACCCTGGAATGATTGATTGGAAATCCATTTATTCTCTAAACTTTATTTCGCTTGGATATACCGTATTTTCCGGTCCTGGGAAATACATAATGAGCTTTTTCTAAATATAGGGAGGATCAATTGTCACATAACCAAAAGCAACTAATTACAAGAAAATGGTATAATATGCTATCTACATCGATCAATCCAATGGTATAAAAGGTATCACATCATAATCCAAAGAGAGTAAACAAACCAACACCCATGGCAACAGATGCAGAAAGCCAAGTATATGGAACATCAACAATTCTCGACGCCGCACTGCTCGACCCGCCACAACACTTACCATTGTACGTGACGTTGTTCATTTGAGCTGCGACTTCGAAAACGGAGCCTTGGAAGTTGCCGTCGTTGTAGTAATCGACGAGGAGGAAGTTGGGCGGACGATCCCATTTTGCTGTTATTGATTGATGTTAGTATATCAAAGGATGATGTATATTCTGTGCTGATGATGGTAACTTACCTCGACAATTGTTCGCCATCAGTCCTAGACTCCCATATCCCGACACTGCGTTCGTCTCATTGATCTGAGCGGAATCCGGTACCAGAATATCGATCCCCTCGAACACAATCTCAAGGTTCAGATTATGGTTAATCATATACATCCGCTCCTCTGCCTGCGCAGCTGTAATTCCAGGGGGCCGCTGCACCGTGCAAGGGAAGGAGGTATTCAGCGGCGAGAAAGGCGTCTCCCACATTTGGGTAAATTCGTCCAGAATGTACGGAATAGCAGTCTGATTGGCCTGGTAGTCCATGAAGACAACAGCGCGTTTGCCGCCCATAATCATCTCCGATAGCGTAGGCCAGTCGTCCAAACTCATGGGGATTTTCCACGGCTCGTAGACGTAGTCGATGAGACCGGAGTTTTCGATGGGAGCGGTAAAGTTCCAGGGGGAAACGTAGTCGGAGTTGACGATCAGGATAGTGACGATGTCGTATGGGTTGTCCTTCATCCAGTCGGTCACAGTTGTGAGGTAGTCTTCTAGGGTACCCATGTTCAGGAGGTCGCAGGAGGTGTGGCAGAGGTAGATGTCATCTTCGTAATAGTGGGCTTCGAAAGATACTGCACTGATGTTAGAAAGTAGATTGCTAATGTTGAAAAGAAGTCTTACGCATGCGCACTCCGTCCTCAAGCTGGATCTTCACATTGTACATCTGATTTGCTGCAATATTGTTTTTCTTCACGAAGGGACTGTTGTGTGCTGTGACCATGGTAATATTCGAGTATTGTCGGCTGCAGAACTCGGTGTAGCCATTGCAAGGCTGCGAGTTGGCGGGCGTGGTCGCAGTGGACGTCGCAGTGCTATTGGAGTTTCGCGTGCCGGTGACGACGACATTTGTATCCGTAGTTGTGGTGGCAGTGGTGGTGCCATTAGTAAAAATGGTTGTATTGGCCGCGGTGGTGGTGGTGGTGGTGGTGAAGGTCGTTTGGGAGACGCTATCCCCGACCGTAATCGTAGTGGTGTAGCTGAGATAACTGCCGGTAGGAACGGCGACGGCAGTTTCGGTGGTCACGACGCTGAAAGAATCACTGTCGGTTCCTGAATGAGTGGACGATGCTGATGCTGTAGAGGTATCATCGGTGATGGTGGTGACTTCGGCTTCCCTCGTGCTTGTCGTGCGCTTGGCGCCCACGTGGATTCCCCGCAGCAGCAGGAGAATCCAAAGATATGCGACCGCGAGCATCATGATGGTGAAGGATGCGCGGATGAGAAAATCAGATCAACCCTCAAACACCGCCGCCTCACGAGATTTTATTGAAAGATCTTCTTTGCCACTGAGGCTATCTCGGAGCCGATCTCTTGGCCAATCCACGGCTTGGGCATCCCCAGATGGCGGAGAGTCCAAAAGTGAGTCGACGGGTGACGTCGGCGTTGTCGGGTAAGAAAAGCTTGGCTGGCTTGGTTCTTTTTTATTCTTCCGCGCTGCACAAATCCATACCCAAGCATGTGCGGATCTTTTGCAATCGTTAACTAGCAATCATTTTACGTGTCTGACATCATCCGAAGTAGATACCTGAATTGTAATTAGCCTCTATGCCTGGCTCCGTCTATTCAGTGTGGTGAGAGGACCTGGTTGCGAATCTTTCTGCCTAGGGGATATGGTCCACGGTTAGTCTGCGCTTGCTGCAGAGTCTTTTTCCGGTGGGACCAACCACCAATCCTTCTTTGCGCAGTTCAAGGCTGACAGAAGGAAGCACAATAGTAATGCGAACTTAGTTAGGCATTATTCTACACTGGCGAAAACTAAGTTCCAATAATTGATAGCGTCAAGTGACTTGCTGTGCTGCTAAGCCACCCGTTGTCACTTGTGCGACACGTTCAGGAACAGCAATGCTGAAAGGCGTGGCACCCATCGGCGATCGGTCGTGCCAAGTCAACCGGTGCAAATAATCATCTACTCCTGATTTCCGGCCCCATTCTTCATGCCTGGACACGACACATTGTGTTCGTAACGCTCGCAAACGGCGAATTCGTTTCATGAATCGAATGTGCTGCAAGTGGCGTCCAATTACTGTCCCAGGTACTATCGCATCTATGCGCCGGGAATTAAAAGAAGCCAATGGTGTCACGAAGCACCTATCGCATCCTGATGCTAAGCCACATCTGAAAGAGACGACAGGTCAAATGCATCCCGGGTAACCCGGCTGAAGATGAAGCCGTGAAAGTCAGGCAGCTGGATTACTGAGGGTCCAATTACGAGGGCGTCGCTTCGAGAACACCATATTATCGCCCCGATTGCAGGTGGGTCAGCTCGACGGCGGCTCGTCCCTTGTGGCCCCTGGCGAAGTAGCTTCATTTGCGAGCTCCTTTTAAGGGGCAATGCCCCCTACTCGTATAGTCCCTTCTCCTGATACCTGCACGTCCTGTACTCGTCAGACAGAGACACAAAATGTTCGGTAGTGGCTTGATGTCGTGGCTGAGGCCCTCCGAGGCCGTGCCCGAAAGCAAATGGAACCCCGAGACCCTGACGATGGAGCAGCCTGCTAGCCCATCCGGTCCCTCCATGGAGCACATTGTTACTGAGCAACCGGTATGCTAAGTCATCCGTAAGGTCGGCCAAGGTATTAACAAGAACAGCGCACTGGAGAGTCCATGCAGCTGCAGATCCGCGGTGGTGGTGAAGGAGAAGTCTGCTGTGGAATGTAAGTCTTCTGCGTCCAATGAGGGGATGGTGCTAACTAGTCTAGTTGTGCTGGTGTCTGCTGCTTTGAATGCTGCGAATGCTGCTGCGATTGTTGCGGCGACGACGGGCCCGATGGTCCTCCCCCTCCTCCCGGCCCGCCCGGACCTCCATGAGTGAACAATAGATAGACTCGGAGAAGGTTGGTTCGCATAGGAATCGGGTCATACGGTTAAGAGTTCCACCAAGGAGTTCTGTGTGACAAACATATTGTCGGCCCGGGGTGACTGTTTCTCGCCTGATGTGAATAGTGATTATCAATATATACCCTTCGTCAGCACTGACTGAATAAGAACTTACCTCTTGTTGCCTTAGTTCTATGCGAGGATCATGAAGTTATGGTGAAGTCATCCAGACCGGTCTTGTACACGGGAGGGGCCGATTTTGTATCCCAATCGACACCTTTCAACCATCCAAAGTGGGGTCGATGACAGTCACAATGCCAGTCAGCATCATGAGCTCAACAACTTTTGATCAGCAACGGAGACGAGTGGTCCGATACTTGAAGTAGATTTAAACCCGTGCAGGTTGAAATGGCTTCATCTTCGGTCTTAGTTTCCCAATCGAAGCTGGTCCAACGCCGAGACGCGGAGCGTGGGGGTGGGACCCCGGAATATCCCCCACAAACTTGGCTGTGGTTGGCACTTTTTCCCTTAGCTTCCATCCTGTGCGCAGATACTATACCCTCAGAGGTCTCTACATCATGCCATCGAAGTTTGTTGTTCGGGTTTACCAACTAGCTAAGTGATGTAGGTGCATGCCGTACGGTGAGTTTGACTAGATTTTTGTATAGCCGGAAGCCGAAGGTACCCCGCGTTATGGCTATATAAGGCTCGTAAATTCCTTGCTCTTGTAGATGGAACAACAGCAACGGCGAATCGATAGAATAATGGTGCAAGCTGTCGCTTTTGGACTGCTCGGGCTAGCTGCCTCTGCCTTGGGCACCTATGCGCCCTACTATGCGAACCTGACGTGGGAGCAACCGCGGACTCTGTCCAACTGGTCCAATCTTACCGTGGAGACACGCACAGGGACGTTCATTGGCATGCTGAATGACACTTACCCGGACGTTCGGCAGTTTTTGCGAGTCCCTTATGCCAAGGTAATACCTTCATTGTGTGGATCTTGTACTGTCTCTGATATGGCCAGCCTCCTGTTGGGGATTTGAGATGGCTTCCTCCTCATCGGCTTGATAACTCAAGCAAGAAGATCGATTCCACCTTCTACGGTCCAGGCAAGTAGACTTCCAGATAAGTATGAGACTTTGCAACTAACTCAAGATCAGCCTGTCCGCAGTATGTGTCGGGAGAGAGTGATTTCTGGAATGAATACGAACCGGCGAATCTGCTGCTCTCCGTCGGCGAAAGGCTCAACCAGGGATCCACGGCATGGTCCTCGGCGGAGGATTGCCTGTCTCTAGCGGTGTGGACTCCATCGTATGCTAATGAGACCTCCAAGCTGCCAGTTGCGCTGTTTGTCACGGGAGGTGGTGGCATCACGGGGGGCATCAACATCCCGTCCCAGCTTCCCTCCGCTTGGGTATCGCGTTCTCAGGAGCATATCGTTGTTACCATCAATTATCGAGCCAACATTTTCGGCAGTAAGTATTTAGCTTTCGGTTGTCTTGATTGATCTGACATGCATAGATCCCAAGTCGCGCGCGTTGAATGAAACATCGCTAACACTGATGGATGTGCGTGCTGCCGTGGAATGGGTATACGAGAACATTGAAGCATTTGGTGGAAACCCCGAAAATATCATGGTCAGATTCCAGTATTCCACTCACATGACTAGAGCTAACGATAAGCAGCTATGGGGACAGTCCCAGGGTGCCCTGCTGACACATCTGTACACCCTCGCATGGCCAGAAGAGCCTCTTGCCGCCAAGTTCGGCGTTATCTCCCAAGGAGCATCTGCCACACTCAATCTCTCCACCACGCCTGACGTGTACCAAGACTTTGACATCGTGGCCAAAGGACTAGGGTGTAATTATGGTGATGATGCCGAGGCCGAGCTGGAGTGCATGCGCGGGATCTCCTGGGTGCAGATTGAGGAGTATATTAACCGCTACAATAGCTCTCCTTCTATCGCCTTCACGAACTATATCCGTATGTCGCAATCTAGCTTATATGCCTGTTCCTACTAACAGCATCAGCCGATGAGCGATATATTTTCTCCAACGAGAGACAGCGATACCTTGAGCGCAAGGTGGCCCGGGGCCCATCAATTCGATCTGACACGGCACGAGAATTCCCCAGCACAAACACGACTTCGGTTAATATCGAAGAGGGCGAATCAGACTGTCTGGCAGTGACTGATCTTGCACTGCGTGCGTCGATCGGACTCGAGACCTATCGCTACTACTGGGCTGGTATGTTCAGGACCCACTTCCCATACAGATGATAGTGTTAACATAGACAGGCAACTTTTCCAATATCAGTCCCGTCCCGTGGCTAGGAGCATTCCACTGGACTGACCTGCTGATGATCTTCGGCACATACATTCTCGATGTCGGCGAGATCTCACAGCTGGAAGTCGACACCTCCGCTACGATGCAAGACTACCTGCTTGCCTTCCTCAAGGACTCGTCAACCGTCAGCGAGACGGTCGGATGGCCAGTATACCTAGGCAACGAGAGCAACGGGGGCCTCATCCTAGAATTCGGCAACGAGACAGCAGTGCGCACCATCACAGGCGACTGGCTCGACGCAGGATGCTTCAATTCATCTATTCCATTCAGAATCTGGGGGTAGCCTATACACACTATCACCAGAGTATATACATTCATCACAAATCCAACACCACCTATATACATTCTTTCCCCGATCTGATCTACAACGACCCCCTCTCCTTTCCCCCCTCCTTACCCTCTTTAATCTCCCTCGCCTTCTCCCCATTCATCCTCGCACTCCCCTCCAACCCATAAAGCACATCCTTCGACATCCCCGGAATCACCATCTCAAACGTATCCTCCACCACCGCATACTGGAAATACCCACACCTAGCAATCGGCTTCGTCTTCTTAACATCCAGAATCCCATCCGTAAGCACCCCTTCATCAATATGCACCCCGACCACCCGTCCCACAACCACATCCACCGTCCCCATAGGTGGGTTTCCCGGCAACCTCATCGTAGAATGATACACGCACTCAAACCGCACCGGCGACTCCTTGACCATAGGCACCTCCACCGGAAGAACGGTAGATGGCTCAGCAGTTAGCCCAGCTTTCTCGAATTCATTCACTCCGTAGGGAAACTGTTGCGCCGTGATATTCATCGCTTCGCGCAGGTCCCAGGTCGCGAGGTTCCACACAAAGGAGCCGGTAGATTCGGCGTTCACGACGGTGTCCTTTCGGTCGCCGGTCACCGTTTGGTTGCTGCTGAAGAGAACGTAGGGTGGGTCGAAGGTTAGGTTTGTGAATTGGCTGTAGGGAGCGAGGTTGGGGGTTCCCGTTGGGGAAGCTGTGCTGATCCAGCCGATGGGGCGGGGGACGACGCATGCCTAAATTTTTATTTTTGTTAGTATTCGATTTGTGAGTCTGGGAGAAGTTGTGGTGGTGATGATGGTGCGGTGTGAGATGAGGGGGGAAAGTTGTATATGCGGGGTAGATCATTGGAATGAATCATTGAAGTTGGAGTTGGAGCTGGGGAATCCAAGTACTTACCTTGAATGGATCATGAGGCAGGCCGTGGTCGGTTTTTCCGGGTTGGTAGAACATTTTCTTTGGTTTACTTTTTTTTTTCTGTAGTGTTTCTAGAGGGTTCAGCTGGGTTGGAATGTAATGATGTTTTGGTGGTGCTTTGATTGCAAGGTGTAATCTAGATGGCAATTGATATCATTTATATAATAACCCCCGGGAAGACGGCACGGCAAACGAGAGCTGGTACTTTGTACGGCTGTTAGGGCCTGACTCGGCTTCCGAGAATTGTGGGGGTGCAGCTATGCTGGGGCTGGGGGCGACGGGGCATCCCCGAGGCGCCCGACTGCCGAGATCGGGTGCACATCATTGCTGTTCGCATTGGCATGGTAATAATTGAGTTCATAATAAACATTTCTGCTTGCGTGTATGTGGAAAATTATTGTGCTTCATGGGTAATGGTGCTCAGTGTATTGATGAGACTGGTGGCGGTCTGCTAAGGATGTTTTAGGGGAAGTCTACTACGAAATTATTGAATCTTATGTAAAGCAATCGCATTCTAATTCAAACACATATTCATGTTTGATACAATCTAGTAGTTCTCAGCGTCTACCCTTCCCCTTGGTATTGGTCAACGCCTGACTACTCAAAACCATGTCCAACCGCGGCGGAGCCGTAAAGGCACACAGCCAATTAATATCAGTGTCCTCATTGTAACGCAACAAGAACTGCTGCAGGCCCTCCATATCTGTATCAAAATTGTGAATGATTGGACTGTGTGCATTCATACCTGCACGGACAAACGTATCAACGAAAAGATACCAATTCTTGATATCCTCGTCGCGGTGGATCTTGAGGTATTCTCGCACAAACACCAGAGTGTTGGACTCGGAAGCAGGCCACTGCCAGAACTTCCAGTTACGGAAGTTTTCCAGGCCAGAAGACGAGCTCAAGAACTGATTGAGTTGATCGAAGTCGGTGGCTAGTTCCAAGCCATTGATCAGGGCCTCTTTGACTTTTGGATCCATCACCTTTGTTGCCTCACAATCACGATCCGCATTGTGTAAGTATGGGTCCACGAAGTCTTCGATAACGTCCTTGAAATGGATGATGGCACGAACAACGCCCTTGAGTTCCTGCAACCTCCACATACCCTTGGCTGGCATGAAGTAGATTTGCAGCGTGTCCATGTTGTCGCTCTCCACCTTGAACATTCTATCAATTGTCTCGAAGAAGTATGACATGTATTCCCAAGCATCATCATCACTCATGATGGGGCTTGTAATTTTGGTTCTCCCTAATTGGGGTTAGTATCTGGGGATATGAGAGAGTAAGCGTAGATTAGCTTACAGAAAGCATCCGTTCTCGGTTCAAACATAGAATTATTTGGGTTGATGTCCAGGGTCCAGTTTTGGGGGTCGACTCCTTGTTCCTTGTCATAGAGAGTGAGGGGTCTACCAAACCCTTTATTGACCTCATTGTAGTGGTAGATCATGTATCGGGCGACTTCTCGCGCATCGTCGAAGTCTTCCCTAGTCACCAGAGGCCAAAGGCTTCTGAAAAAGGAGATATAGTAGCACAACATTCTGCACTATGAGGGTGGGGAAGCACTGGTCTATGCGTTTGGGGGTAATTGGGAACTCGAAGAGAGCAAGAATAGAACTGAACCCTGGGACGAAATAATATTTCGGAAGAGGAGCACGTTGGTTATTTATAACTCGGTCGATTGGCATCATAAGGAGGACAGTGTTGAAGCTTGATTGTGGATATTGGCATATCCCGTGATGCTTGAGCTAATGTTCATCCCCAAATGCCTTTTCTGCACTTTGGTGTAGGTTCAGAGGGCTCTCCAGCTGTGATCAATGAGCGAACGTGAAACATGAATGGAGGGAGCAGAGAGAGGGGCGGCTGAATAATATTGCAGATAAGTGGTGACAGCTATTCATGAGATGACCATGTACTGTATAAAAGCTTCTGTCGGGAGTTTCAGATATAACAGTAGACAAGAGAGTTTATTGAAAGAGCAAAAGCTATTCTGATGTTCGATGCAATTCATTATCTGTTCATCTCGGCTCATACAGCTTTGTGCTTCCCAGACATCGGAACTCCATCCGGATCAGGTCAAGGGAGTGTAGCCGTTACCCATATGAGCACCAAACCTTATATCGACGGTGAGACAATTTGTCAGTTGCGAATAATGTTCCTTGGCTTTATCGTCATGTCAATTACCATAAACACTATTGTCCACGGCACTTCCCTGGAATATCCCATCACACACTTCAACGTTGAGCATGCATGATTGCAGCCTTTTGATCCTTTGGGTCTTTAGCAAACAGTTCTTGATCCATGGTCTTGCAAGGAATGATTAAGATCCGTACGGGTTGCTAGTTTGATATGAGGTACAGGCCACATTGCGGAGGAAGTTATAGTTGCAGCCCGCGGTTACTGTCATCCGTCAGGGCTAGGATGATGCATTCATAGGCAATACTCGGGTAGCTCGTTGATATGCATGTCTCTCTTCGATATCAGAATCATTTCGTTGTATCCACCTATCCCTGTTTTTCATAGCCCGTGCAGGAAAGGAAAGAAGACCAACTTACCGCATCGATTATTGTGTACATTCCGAGATGATGCCCATGAGATACGCATTCTGAACAAGGCTGGCCATGCACAGGTCAACCGTAAACTCAGGCATCTCTTGCAAATCTTCCTTGTCGAGATAGGTTGAGGTCCCATCAATCAGCGTTGGCAGATCATTCAGGACGGTCTCAATGACAATATCTCGAAGCCCGCGATCGGTCTCGATCGTCGTACAGTAGACCTCGTTCACAGTCGAACGGAAAAACAGTCTGTCTAAGTCACGCAGGAAGCACTCTTTGAAGTTCTCTTTTGCCTTCTCTTTGAGATCGTGGATCTGGAAATATTCTCCTTGCTCATACATATGAACATGGAATTTCGAAAGCCCGCCATTTTCCACGGATGACAGGGTAGCATACGGGAGGCTTCGAACAATCGGACTAGGGATAGGACTGGGATGACCAAACTCCACTGCGGGAGAGGTGTCCATATCGCTCAGTCTGGTGTAATCCCCTCTATAGAGAAACTGCAGCGTCTTCTCAAGATAAATGGGCTCAAGCTCCTCTATCACGATGTTTCCAGAAGACTCCTAAGTATGATACGCATGTGTTACTTTGGCTCACATTCAAAGTTGAATTGATGTGTAGCAGTGACTTACGATGAAGCTGCTATTACACGCGCGTGAAAAGTACCCAGATTGAGGACACACGACGCATTTATGAGCTGGGAAGACAACATCTCCGCAAACGATGGACAAGTCGCTCCATGTAGAGCTTAGGAAGAGGCTACTAAGCGTGAGAAGCTGTTGATAAAAACATGAGGTAGGCTTACTCTGAGATGACCTTAGTCGGCCCCCGTGGCTTTGCATCCACGCTTGAGGATGACATTTTGTAGAGGAATTTGCCGTTAATTGACAGATTTGCTTCCAGTTGTAGACAGATGTATGAGGAAGGAATGAGAAAGAGTTGGCACGAAATCAGGTAAAAGCGAGGTATTATCCGTTTGGCTTGACGAATTAGAGCTCGCGTGGCAGCTATTACCTGAGTTGAAGGTGGTGGTCAGCTTTGGTTGTTGTGTTAGTGAGCAAGCTGCCAGCAGATGACAGGCAGGCGTGACTAGTCAATGAAGGCAACAGTATAAGTAAGTAGTACACAAAGAAACCGGATTGAGCTGGCCGAGTACCCTCATTCACATGACAAGGCAAGAATCCACCTTTAGTTGTATCCTGTACAGATACAGTTTCGGACAAATCGAACTGTTCTCCCTCCTACTTTATAGCAAGTTGTCTATTGGTCCCATGTCCACCCCAGCGATATTGACTTTTCAATTTCAAGTCAAATACTCGTGCAAAAAGCCTCATAACACAGAATTTGTTGTCCTCCCCTTTTGCAGTGAGGAAATTTGGAATGACCAAGGCCGTTTCAATCAAGCAGTCTTTGAGCTTCTGCTTGAGCTCGGAGTGGAAACACACACAATTCATTAGAATTTCACTTCTGCCATTTTTTGGTAATTGTCCAAGAGCTGTGACATGCAGACGAAGCGAAAGTCTCACACATACTTCTATACGCATGTTACGAACTAGGTATTATGCATGCAGTTGGAGATATTGACCAGCCTGTGCTGCCGGAAAAGGGTGATTCCGAATCCGACAGCAACACCACTAATGCAGCCATACACACAGCTACAAGCAATTTGATCGACCACTACTCTTCTAAATCTTGCTTCCGGGTCGCATGATGCATCCCTGTGGGGCACATTATTCAACGTTCATCAACTCGGTTGATCCGTACTGCCAATCCCTGCAGAAAACATATCCACATGGCGAGGTACCGAGTCCCGAGTCCCGAACCCGAACACCGAACCGAGTCTAGATGTGAAAGTTCCAGATCATGAGGCTACTGTCAGAGCTTTGAGGCAAACCCGATTTAGCCGGCAAGTATCATCATGTCTGGCTATAAATGCCCTCGAACGGGAAGGCTGTTTTGTAACAGTCCGTCCAACCCCTCTAAAACATCATCACACTAGTACCATAAATCAATATGTCTGCACAACCCGCCCACCTCTGTTTCCGCTCCTTCGTTGAGGCCCTCAAGGCGGACAACGACCTTGTGGAAATCGATACCCCCATCGACCCCAATCTCGAAGCTGCTGCTATCACCCGTCGAGTATGTGAGACCAACGACAAGGCTCCTCTCTTCAACAACCTCATTGGCATGAAGAATGGCCTCTTCCGTATACTTGGGGCTCCTGGCTCTCTCAGGAAGTCGTCTGCTGATCGCTACGGCCGCCTTGCTCGTCACCTAGCCCTCCCGCCTACGGCTTCAATGCGTGAGATTCTTGACAAGATGCTCTCCGCCAGCGAAATGCCTCCCATTCCTCCAACTATTGTTCCCACCGGGCCATGCAAGGAGAACAGCTTAAATGACTCCGAGTTCGACCTCACCGAACTCCCCGTTCCTCTTATTCACAAATCGGATGGTGGTAAATACATCCAAACCTATGGTATGCACATTGTGCAGTCTCCTGATGGAACCTGGACCAACTGGTCTATTGCCCGCGCGATGGTCCATGACAAGAACCATCTGACCGGCCTGGTTATTCCTCCTCAGCACATCTGGCAGATTCACCAGATGTGGAAAAAGGAGGGCCGGAGTGATGTTCCCTGGGCTTTGGCTTTTGGTGTCCCACCCGCGGCCATTATGGCCTCCAGCATGCCCATCCCAGATGGTGTCACCGAAGCTGGGTACGTGGGCGCTATGACGGGATCTTCCCTAGAGCTCGTCAAATGTGATACGAACGATCTATACGTCCCCGCTACCTCAGAAATTGTCCTCGAAGGTACTCTGTCTATCAGCGAGACTGGTCCAGAAGGACCTTTTGGTGAGATGCATGGTTACATCTTCCCTGGGGATACCCATCTTGGCGCCAAATACAAGGTCAACCGGATCACCTATCGCAACAACGCCATCATGCCGATGTCTTCTTGTGGCCGCTTGACAGATGAAACAGTAAGTTTAATCCCCGTTGTGCCGTCCATGACCAAGGACTGACACTGTATAGCACACCATGATTGGCTCTCTGGCTGCGGCGGAGATCCGTAAGCTCTGCCAGCTGAATGACCTTCCCATCACTGATGCCTTCGCTCCTTTCGAGTCACAAGTCACCTGGGTTGCTCTGCGAGTCGATACTGAGAAGCTACGTGCGATGAAGACGACATCTGAGGAATTTCGCAAGAAAGTGGGAGATGTTGTCTTCAACCACAAGGCCGGATACACTATTCATCGCCTGGTTTTGGTCGGTGACGACATTGATGTCTATGAAGGAAAGGATGTCCTCTGGGCATTCTCCACCCGCTGCCGTCCTGGAATGGATGAGACTTTGTTTGAGGACGTTCGTGGATTCCCTCTGATTCCGTACATGGGACACGGAAATGGGCCCGCCCACCGCGGCGGAAAGATTGTGTCCGATGCTCTCATGCCAACTGAATACACCACTGGTCGCAACTGGGAGGCTGCTGACTTCAACCAATCTTATCCGGAGGATCTGAAGCAGAAGATCTTGGACAATTGGACCAAGATGGGTTTTAGCAACTAACCATATCTGTCTTGATATTATTTTGAATTGATATGGCAGGTACATAGACATAGAGAACGTAGAGCACAGATTTACATACTTTTTCTTCTCATTCATTATAGCATCCCCACTACTGCTCGTAAGCAGATAGAGAGTTGACATAACATCTATTCAAATTCAAAACCTATGGATAATTTTAAGCGACGAATTTTAGTGAGTGGGACTACTAGAGGTAAATCATTCTACACTAAATAACACTTGTGGGCTAGTGCATCACTACTACTAATAGTACTATGTATCATCTCCCGCGTCGGCTAGGTCTCCAAATATATGTATTCGATCGCCATCCTTTAAATGCCAGCGTGCAAAAGATCTTTCACCCCACAGTCTTGAGTTCGTGCGTAGTAGGCCATCCCCAGTCCGATAGTTTGTTTTCCAGCCACATTACCATTCTAATTGAGTTTGTACTTCGAATTGGCTGTATACCAATTGCTGACTCATCTCGGAACCGAGGTGCCGACCAGATCCGCCAACTTCGACGCTTTGCACGACCACCGCGACTATATCGACTAATAGCCCGGAGAAAGAAGCAATATAATTCCGCAAAACCTTCCGGAAAATATGCACTCTTGAGGTGCCGATATAGCGGTAGTAGTATCATGGGCACTCCGATAAATCGTGAAGAGATCGACCGCGTGCTGCGACAGAAACGCAATCAGCGCGAGGCTCGAGCGTGTTATCCTTGCCGCCAGCGCAAGGTGAAATGCGACAGCACTCAGCCCTGTCGAACATGCCGTCGACGGGGCCATCCCCAAATATGTGTGTATGATCAAGATTCCTCTGGGTCTAAGAAGTCCCGTAATACCAGCCAAAGACGTTCGTCGGCTGCTCCTCGCGGACCAAATCAGACATCAGTCGCTGAACAGGGACTCGATGCCGAGCCACAAACTCTGCCCTCAACACGGAGTTTACCAGAGGTTCCAACGGAGACAAGGCAGTACTATAATACTCGTATCCCATCTTCCGATGGTCCCGATAATGACCTTGTCTACTCGGGCGACAACTCGGTATTATCTTATTTGCGTAATCGCACGCAAGATACCAATGGCTCCATGACCCGTGAGGTGGGTTCTGTTCTAGGCCTGCAAAATACTTACGGTAGCTATCCGTTTATGGACTTCCGAACGCCTCAGGACCGGTGGAGGGAACTTCTACGAATCATCCCACAGCGAACGGAACTCTTGAAGTAAGCACACCTTGTTGTTGATCACAGCAACCACTAACAGAGGGCAGGTTCTTTCATTTCTATAGAATATCAGCCCACCCTTTCAATCCTATCATACTTGACATTGAGAGATTTGAGCAGGATGTGTGTTCGTACCTCAATGCTCTTGCGGCAGGAGAGCTGCAGAACACTTCACAAGTTTGTGAACGTTGGGCCACTGATCGGTCTGTCGGGATGATTAGCCTGCTACTTGCGGCCTTGGCGTCTGGTGCGCATTATTCTGACCTGGATTACATGCAAAGAACCGAGCTATACCAGGATTTCGGTACGTCACCCAGGATGATTGTCTATGCATGATCGACTAACAAGAAGAAGCCAAACGATCCTTTCAAGCTCTTCGACTAGCCAACTTTCTCTTCCGTCCGACGATGGACATCATACAAGCACTCTTGATCATAGGGAACACTCTGCAAAACAATGGCCAGTCTGATGCAGCATGGGCTTTGTTAGGGACAACAGTCCGTCTTGCACAGACATTGGGTCTTCACACCGAAAAGAGTGTAGCACACCTACCGGACCACGTCAAATACAAAGCACGAAAGCTATGGTACATAAGCAATGCTACAGATAGCGACACAAACTGACGCGGTTACAGGTACACTGTTGTTTGGCAAGATTGCCTGCTCTGTTTATGTTACGACCGGCCTCGTGTAGTCTCCATGACTGGGTGGGCTCCAGATTATTCGATTCTCTCCAGCAACGAACTTTCTTTTACGGAAGCTATGTATTTTCTATGCCAAACTGCATTGAACATGATCACAACAGATGGTCCCGAAATACCGGAAAACGCGCGACAGCTTGACATTTTGGCCACGATTGATAGCCTCAACCAACGCACCCAGCCACATTTGCGTGACCGCCAGGAATGCAAAAGCCTCCAACACAACCTGGAGCACCTGGCTTTGCGAATGCACATGTCTCTAGCCATCTCCGTCTTGACACGTCCAGCGCTGAAGCGCACTGTTGTGCAAGACGCGTCCTATGATATTTTGCGCACCCGCGCCAAATTGAGCCTGATCGACGCTTCTAGGGCCTTTTTGGATTTTCAGGCTCTTAGTGCGGTTCCCCTCCGAAGCTGGTCAATGGTGCACACAGTTCTTAGTTCCACTTTACTCCTCTGCATTTGGGAGGAGACCCGAAATGACCCCGAGTGCCGTGATTTACAGCAAAAGGTGATTGAGGTCTTCTCTGCCGCAGGTTCAGTGGGCACAGTGGAGAACACAACATCGGAGAACGGGCAATGGCTATCGGAACGGCATATACGGGCGTTAATCACTCTGCGCAATGCGGTTCGAATGGCAGGTGAACGTGGAAAGGGGGAAGCAAATGTTGGGACAGAACGCGCGGAACAGCCCCAGCCATTTTTTCCTGTCTATGGGTATGTGCGCCCACTATTGTCTGATATGTGGAGCTGTGTGGTGGGTGCTGATTTTGCAGTATGCCGAACGGGATCCCGGACGACTTCGGTCAAGACTTCTCACCAGCCAGCTATCTTGACTCTATCATGAATGGTATGCTGAGATTGCCGACCATAATTGACCGAGCTAACCGTCGCAGTACCCATGTTTGACTTATCCAAAGAGCTGGGTTTTCTTTGAGGCATCCATGACGTTATGCCGCCCCTCGGGAACGGGCCCTCGGTGACTCGGGGATCTCGGACTCAATGGCAAAACAGGGCCACACCGAGATTGACTGTGAAGGCAGGAAAGGGTCCGAAGAAATCGAACCAAGCAAAAAAGATTTCAACTCATTGATTTACTGTAGCTACTGGGTTGCCACTGGGTTATATATATATACTTGACAGCTCAACTTCCTGACAGCTATCATTGCCAACCATCCATCCAGACAAGTCACCCCATAACGGGAACATTCAATCTACGCAATTGTGCCTACTACAACACAATATATTCCGCATCAACACATATGTTCAACGCACTTCTGTCCGGTACTACTACCCCAAACTCCGGTCGTGCATCTCCTCCCACCAGCGAAATGCCCGTCGATAATGATCACGTGGCCGTTGCCCGTCCAGCGCCCCGTCGCCGCCGCATTGTAGTGGCCATGACGGGTGCTACTGGAGCCATGCTCGGCATCAAAGTCCTAATTGCCCTGCGCCGTCTCAACGTGGAGACGCATCTGGTGATGAGCAAGTGGGCGGAGGCTACGATCAAATACGAGACCGACTACCATCCCTCAAACGTGAAAGCGCTGGCCGACTACGTACACAACATCAATGACATGGCTGCCCCAGTGTCCAGCGGCTCATTCCGCGCAGACGGAATGATTGTGGTACCGTGCAGCATGAAAACATTGGCTGCTATCCACTCGGGCTTTTGCGACGATCTCATCTCAAGGACAGCAGATGTGATGCTCAAGGAGCGCAGGCGGTTGGTGCTAGTAGCGCGGGAGACGCCCTTAAGCGAGATCCATCTGCGAAACATGTTGGAGGTTACACGAGTTGGGGCAGTCATCTTCCCCCCAGTGCCTGCGTTCTACATCAAGGCCGCAAGTATCGAGGACCTCATTGACCAGAGTGTTGGACGAATGTTGGATTTATTTGACCTCGACACGGGGGATTTTGAGCGTTGGAATGGATGGGAGAAATAAATTTTTCGTTGGAACTGAATTTTGGCGGGCTTGTCTTGTATAAAATAAAAGGGGCGTTGACTGGATTTTGGTACTTGGGGATTTATTCTTAGCTTTTGACTGTACATAGTTTGGGTGCGGTTTGATAGCCGACGATCGGCCGACCCACGAACCGGATTTGCATATGATTCCTTTTTCCTTCATTTTTGGTCGGAGTTCCTACCCACTTTCCAAACCCCAACACAACCACAAGCACGTTATGTTTGCTACGTTGAGTTCCTCAATATTGCTGAACTATGCAAGCAGCCCAACTGAGTTGTACCACCAGGCATGCGAGTCGGAAGAATTCGACAAAGCAGGTGAAATGTCCGAGTTGGCGAACTAAAGCGCAACGGTCGAGGCTCCTTTCCCCGCAGAGGCAGTCATTCTGCAGCCTTCGAACTGCGGGGGAAGCGGCATTAAATCAACTCAATTCTCATGACGTGACCAACAGGATGCTAGCAATGTTGGCCTAATATATTCTCACTGATCTGCTGATACGGTTCCCCCCTTGTACCAGCCTCGGTTTGCGCATGAGAACGGGTTCGACCGTTCCTGGGCCACCCAGTTGGCGTGATATTCTCCGCCCACGCTGCCTTTCCCCCATGATGGAGAACCTTCGGATCAGCGATCGTCAGGCCAGCTGGCTAGGGGTATAGGGGGTTTTGCTGTCTTCATGCCTAAATTACAGGTCTCATAACTGGATCCACAGCCGAGGAGGCACATGGAGATGTCGAAATCCCCTTGGGAGCTGGTTTTGTCGGTTCTCGGACTATGCTCCAAGACATAGATGGATTTCTGGCACTTGAAACGAAGGTGGGAAAATGGAAAACTGTATATAGGGTTCCTCGTAGCCCGATCGGAGAGCCTGTGACCCATAGCGGTACAGATCATGGCCATCATGAAGGCCCTTCTTTGGCTCTCCCTTCCCCTCGCCGTCTGGGCCACCCCAGTCCAACGGGATGCAGCTCCTACTGTCACTATTGCGCATCCATCGGCCACCATCATTGGCAAGTCTGGAGATGTTGAGAGCTTCAACAATATCCCCTTCGCGCAGGCCCCCACGGGCTCGCTGCGTCTGAAGCCTCCACAGCCTTTGGAAACCTCCCTCGGAACTGTTCAGGCAACCGGTGCCTCGCAGTCTTGTCCGCAGATGTACTTCACCACGGATGAGAGCGAATTTCCGACCTCTGTCATTGGTCTCCTTGCGGATCTCCCGTTGGTACAGTCGGCTACCAATGCCCTCGAGGATTGTCTGAACATTGACATTCGGCGCCCAGCCGGGACCACTGCGGCCGCGAAGCTGCCCGTGCTGGTCTGGATCTTTGGCGGAGGCTTTGAACTTGGTTCAAAGGCCATGTATGACGGTACAACGATGGTATCATCGTCGATAGACAAGAACATGCCTATCGTGTTTGTAGCGATGAACTATCGCGTAGGGGGGTTCGGGTTTCTGCCCGGAAAGGAGATTCTGGAGGACGGGTCCGCTAACTTAGGTCTACTTGACCAACGCCTTGCCCTGCAGTGGGTGGCCGACAACATCGAGGCCTTTGGTGGAGACCCGGACAAGGTGACAATCTGGGGAGAATCAGCAGGGGCTATTTCTGTCTTTGATCAGATGATCTTGTACGACGGAAACATCACTTACAAGGACAAGCCCTTGTTCCGGGGAGCCATCATGGACTCCGGTAGTGTTGTTCCCGCAGATCCTGTCGACGGAGTCAAGGGACAGCAAGTATATGATGCCGTTGTGGACTCTGCAGGCTGTTCCTCTTCTAACGACACCCTAGCTTGTCTGCGTGCGCTAGACTACACCGACTATCTCAATGCGGCAAACTCCGTGCCGGGAATCCTAGGCTACCACTCCGTGGCGCTATCGTATGTGCCTCGACCAGACGGGACAGCATTGTCGGCGTCGCCAGACGTTTTGGGCAAAGCAGGGAAGTATGCGCGGGTCCCATTCATCGTGGGTGACCAAGAGGATGAGGGGACCTTGTTCGCCTTGTTTCAGTCCAATATTACGACGATCGACGAGGTAGTCGACTATCTGGGCACCTATTTCTTCTATGACGCTAGCCAGGAGCAGCTTGAAGAATTAGTGGCCCTGTACCCAGACACCACCACATATGGGTCTCCCTTCAGGACGGGCACGGCCAACAACTGGTATCCGCAATTTAAGCGATTGGCCGCCATTCTCGGCGACTTGGTCTTCACCATTACCCGGCGGGCATTCCTGTCATATGCAGAGGAGCTCTCCCCTGACCTCCCGAAATGGTCGTACCTGGCGACCTATGACTATGGCACGCCAATTCTAGGGACCTTCCATGGAAGTGACCTGCTGCAGGTGTTCTACGGGATCAAGCCGAACTATGCAGCAAGTTCCAGCCACACGTATTATTTGAGTTTTGTGTATACGCTGGATCCGAACTCCAATCGGGGGGAGTACATGGAATGGCCCCAGTGGAAGGAATCACGACAGTTGATGAATTTCGGAGCGAACAGCGCCAGTCTCCTTACGGATGATTTCCGTAACGGGACATATGAGTTCATCCTGCAGAATACCGCGGCGTTCCACATCTGATGCCATTGGCGGAGGGGTCCGGAGGTTCAGGGACCTAGCCTTATGAAAAGTAATGATGGAAGTGTCTGGCCTCGGCAAAGGATAGATATAGGGTCATAATAAGTAGTACTAGTTATATTAATGGAAAGGGTATATACCACGCGTTGGACCTTGGGACCTGCATTATAGCTTCCCGTTAGGTATACTTACCATTGTTATAGCAGCCAATCAAGCCACCACGCTCGACCGGGGACGGCGAATCCCCGGGAATTGAAATAAATTGCAATTCAGGTCAGTGAGGCCAGCGATTGGACACATCTCCAAGGCACAGGGTCATTCTGCAGTGCCGGTGGATTCAGTGCAATTTCCCCCGGGCCGGCCCGACACCGCGATAGGCTGGTTCTCCCACGCCACCGGAGATTCGTCGTTCTGGGGCCTCGTCCGTTCACAAGCTGAAGAGCTGAAGTGGCGAAGATGTCTCTGCAGGAATTCCAAGCTAGATGCTAAGCGAAGGTTGCATTGCAATTTGGGTCGTGTGTTGATGCATGTGCTTCTTCCTTCAACTTTCTCCCCCCCCTCGTGCAGATGTTGGTTTGGCTATAAATTGAAGTGGTCGGTCAGGGGTCAGTGAGGGGTTGTTGAAAGTAGCTTCCTCCCCCTCAAGACGCGACAACTGAGTGACTGAGCTTCATTCTCAACATCGTTACTCCCCCGCCGCAATGTCGTTCCGATCTCTTCTCGCCCTGAGCGGCCTTGTCTGCTCGGGGTTGGCAAGTGTGATTTCCAAGCGCGCGACCTTGGATTCGTGGTTGAGCAACGAAGCGACCGTGGCTCGTACTGCGATCCTGAATAACATTGGGGCGGACGGTGCTTGGGTGTCGGGCGCGGACTCTGGCATAGTCGTTGCCAGTCCCAGCACCGATAACCCGGACTGTATGTTTTGAGCTCAAATTATGAGCGTGTCTTGGTTGATTGATGCTGACTGGCGTGTTCTTCTGATTATTGTAGACTTCTACACCTGGACTCGCGACTCTGGTCTCGTCATCAAGACCCTCGTCGATCTCTTCCGCAATGGAGATACTGATCTCCTTTCCACCATTGAGAACTACATCTCCTCTCAGGCAATTGTTCAGGGTATCAGTAACCCCTCTGGTGATCTGTCCAGCGGTGGTCTTGGTGAGCCCAAGTTCAATGTCGATGAGACTGCCTACACCGGGTCTTGGGGACGGCCGCAGCGTGATGGTCCTGCCCTGAGAGCAACTGCTATGATCGGCTTCGGCCAGTGGCTGCTTGTATGTTCTCCACCCCCCTTGCGTCTGATCTGCAACATATGTAACTGACTGGTCAGGACAATGGCTACACCAGCGCTGCAACGGAGATTGTTTGGCCCCTCGTTAGGAACGACCTGTCGTATGTGGCTCAGTACTGGAACCAGACGGGATATGGTGTGTTTGATTGATCGGTGTTCATCAAGGGTGTTTGTGCATCGGAGCTAACTCGCGGTCGCAGATCTCTGGGAAGAAGTTAATGGCTCGTCCTTCTTCACTATTGCCGTGCAACACCGTGCCCTCGTCGAAGGTAGTGCCTTCGCGACGGCCGTCGGCTCGTCCTGCTCCTGGTGTGATTCGCAGGCACCTCAGATTCTCTGCTACCTGCAGTCCTTCTGGACCGGCAGCTATATCCTGGCCAACTTTGACAGCAGCCGTTCCGGCAAGGACACAAACACCCTCCTGGGAAGCATCCACACCTTTGATCCTGAGGCTGGATGCGACGACTCCACCTTTCAGCCCTGCTCCCCGCGTGCGCTCGCCAACCATAAGGAGGTTGTAGACTCTTTCCGCTCGATCTATACTCTCAACGATGGTCTCAGTGACAGTGAGGCGGTTGCCGTCGGTCGGTACCCTGAGGATAGCTACTACAACGGCAACCCGTGGTTCCTGTGCACCTTGGCTGCCGCGGAACAGCTGTACGATGCTCTGTACCAGTGGGACAAGCAGGGGTCGTTGGAGATCACAGACGTGTCACTAGACTTCTTCCAGGCTCTGTACAGTGATGCTGCCACCGGCACGTACTCTTCGTCCAGCTCGACCTATAGCAGCATTGTGGATGCCGTCAAGACTTTCGCTGATGGTTTCGTTTCTATTGTGGTAGGTCTACGCTAGACGAGCGCTCATATTTACAGAGGGTGCGTACTAACAGGATTAGGAAACTCACGCCGCAAGCAACGGCTCTCTGTCTGAGCAATTCGACAAGTCTGATGGCGACGAGCTTTCTGCTCGTGATCTGACCTGGTCTTACGCTGCTCTGCTGACCGCCAACAACCGTCGGAACTCTGTCGTGCCCCCGTCTTGGGGTGAGACCTCTGCCAGCAGCGTGCCCGGCACCTGTGCGGCTACCTCTGCCTCTGGTACCTACAGCAGTGTGACCGTCACCTCGTGGCCGAGCATCGTGGCTACTGGTGGCACCACTACGACGGCTACCACCACTGGATCCGGCGGCGTGACCTCGACCAGCAAGACCACCACAACTGCTAGTAAGACCAGCACCACTACGTCCTCGACCTCCTGCACCACTCCCACTGCCGTAGCTGTGACCTTTGATCTGACGGCGACCACCACCTACGGCGAGAACATCTACCTGGTCGGGTCGATCTCTCAGCTCGGTGACTGGGACACCAGCGACGGCATAGCTCTGAGCGCTGACAAGTACACTTCCAGCAACCCGCTATGGTATGTAACTGTGACTCTGCCGGCTGGTGAGTCATTTGAGTACAAGTTCATCCGCGTTGAGAGCGATGACTCCGTGGAGTGGGAGAGTGACCCGAACCGGGAATACACCGTTCCTCAGGCATGCGGCGAGTCGACCGCGACGGTGACTGACACCTGGCGGTAGAACAATTCATTCAATTCGATATGATGGATGAAAATGAAAGTCATTGGTTATATAATCATGTATGTAGTGGATGTGCATAAGAGCGACGGAATGGAAGCCTGATCATGTGATTGTATTGCGACCGACGGAATTGAGGATATGCGGAGATACGGACAGTGCCAAAGCCATTGTCTTCACGTTAAGGAACCAGACAGTCCCTGATTAACACTTGCACCTAACATTAGGCAATTGGCATGGCCCCTTTCTCTTTTCGCTCTACTGATTTCACTGTCCCTCAAAGCATAGCCATGAGCTCATCTTAGATCCAAGCACGTAATTCCATAGCCGAGGTCCACAGTGGAGCAACAGCAGCACCCACCATTGCTTCTCCCCCAGGGGCCTCTTAGCGACTAAACCTGGAGTATGTCTCAACCAAGCCAATGAATCGTCTTCACTTCAATGTCCTTGACACTTCCAAGAGGGTCCCATCCATCAAATGCCAATTCAAAATATAGCCGAGATGCATGGTGGAGCCAAAAGTAGACAGTATTGCCGGAATGACGGGGCCAGTTGGCCCGGAGGTCATTGGCCGGCTGTGATGCCATCTGCCACTAAATCCGATCATTGATCCACCGCCCACGAGGCGCGACTTTGCTTTTGCGCTGCGTCCAGGTTCACACACACACTCTCTCTGTGCAGCTCCAGACTGACTAGTTTATTCTACCTACTGGTCTGATCGGCTCCATCAGAGCTATGGCGTTATCCCGTGCCGTTGCTGCGCCATCGCTATCTTGATCGCGAGCTCAAACTCACTTCTTGTTTTAATAGTGTTCTTGGTGACTGAGTGTCGGTGAGTAACAACCACATCGTGCAGAGGGAAATTCATCCAGAAATTGGATTGTTGCTCCTGCCATGATGTTCTTGCCGGCTTTGTTGGCCCTGCTCGTCGGATGCGACGCCCTCGCTGTACAGCAGCAGGTATTGCTGGATGATGAGCCGTCGGTCTCTGCGCGCAAGCCCAACTTCCTCTTCATCCTCACGGATGATCAGGACCTGCGGATGAATAGCCCGGCGTATATGCCGTATACGCAGGCGAGAATCAAGGAGAAGGGTACCGAGTTCTTGAATCATTTCGTCACTACTGCGCTTTGCTGTCCGTCGCGCGTGAGTCTTTGGACGGGAAGACAGGCTCATAATACTAATGTGACGGATGTGAACCCGCCTTATGGTATGCATACCTTCTCAATTAGAACATAGTTCTTCGGTGCGGGATTGCTAATGCAGTATAGGCGGATACCCCAAATTTGTCGCCCAAGGCTTCAACGAAAACTTCCTCCCTGTTTGGCTGCAGTCCGCCGGTTACAATACCTTCTACACGGGGAAACTGTTCAACTCGCACAGCGTCGCTACCTATAACGCACCGTTTGTGAACGGCTTCAATGGCTCCGATTTCCTTCTTGACCCCCACACCTATTCTTACTGGAACGCGACGTACCAGCGAAACCATGAGCCTCCGCAGAGCTACGAGGGACAATACACAACAGATGTTATGAGGGAGAAGGCATCGGGGCTGTTGGCAGATGCGCTGGAAACTGACGCGCCGTTCTTCCTGACGGTCGCGCCGATCGCGCCGCACACGAACATCGATGTGGAAGGACTGAGTGGCTCTGGTGGTCCGAAAATGACGGAGCCGCTGCCTGCACCGAGACATGCGCATTTGTTTGCTGATGCGAAGGTGCCGCGGACGCCTAACTTCAATCCGGACAAGGTATGTGATATTTTGGCCCTGTAGCGGGGATGGTCGCTGACAAGAGTAGGATTCCGGTGCGGGGTGGATCCAAACCATGGAACTTCAGAACCAGACCGTCATCGACTACGAAGACCATCTTTATCGCCAGCGCCTTCGCGCATTGCAAGCTGTTGATGAGATGGTGGACTCGCTGATCACTCAGCTGGAAGAAAGCGGGCAGATCGACAATACCTACATCATCTACAGCGCTGATAACGGCTACCACATTGGCCATCATCGTCTGCCTCCGGGCAAAACGACCGGCTATGAGGAGGACATTCGAGTCCCGTTCTACATTCGCGGCCCTGGCATTCCTGAAGGAAAGAGCGTTGACCGCGTAACCACACACATTGATATCGCCCCCACACTGTTCGAGCTGGCTGGGGTTCCCTTGCGAGAGGACTTTGACGGGACTCCGATGCCCGTATCAACCAGCAAGAGGACCGAGTCAATCCTGCACGAGCATGTCACGGTTGAGTTTTGGGGCCATGCCGTGCTTGAAGGCGAGTACGGCTCCATCGGTGAGTAACCTCCCTCAGGCTCTCTTTCGTAGTTTCCGCCAGACAATCAATGCTGACGTAACCAGGACCCGGAGGCTCCTCCATGATGGGAAACAACACCTACAAATCCGCGAGAATTCTCTCGGAGGAATATAACCTGTACTACTCCGTCTGGTGTGACGGCGACCACGAGCTGTACGATCTCTCGGTAAGTATTATTCCTTTCACTATCTTTTATCGAAGATAACCTAACAGCCCCAGACGGACCCCTACCAAATGAACAACATCTACGCCCAACAAGACTCTATCAACCTCCTAAACAGACCTCTTTCCAGCGTGATCGATCGCATCGACGCCCTCCTTCTCGTCTTGAAGTCCTGCAAGGGTAACACCTGCATCCAGCCGTGGCGGGTCCTCCATCCCGATGGGTCTGTAGAGAGCCTCAAGGATGCGCTGCAAGTGAAGTATGATTCCTTCTACACGAATCAGCCGAAGGTGTCGTATTCTGTGTGTGAACCAGGGTATATCATTGCCGCTGAAGGTCCGCAGGTGGGATTTCAGTATAGAGATGGACTGAGTTGGGAGGCGTGGACTTGATGATACGACGGAGTATAGATATGAGTTATGAGCGATATTGTTATGTATATATTTAGATGGGTTATTTGTATACCATGATGAAAATCACAGAGTCATGAAAATGAATGCATGACATGGGACGAGTGTAGATCACGATAGTCAGTCAGTCTTAGTAGGCGAAATGGGCGGATGGATACACAGTAGCCAAGAAAATAGCATTAGAATTAGATAACACCGATCACACCATCCATAGATAATAATACCATGAAACCAGGAAGTTTAAATAGCCGAGAACAAGAGAGAATTGGACACAAAGAAAGACACATGGAACAAGAAAAGGCACACCCGGTAGATAAACCCTGGGACGGACCCGAGCGAGTTCGTTCCTTATCCATAGATCAATCCTACGGGAAACGACAACCACAACGGGATCAATGAAAACAGTCAAAAATGACACCATCGAATCCTTCAGCCTAAGTCAGTTCATGACTATAGCGATTATCGCTTAAAGGATAAAAAGGCATTTATTATAGAAAAATTGATATGACAATCTATCTAGCACGCGCGGCCATCGATCCAAACTAACCCTGACATCAAAGCCAGCGGCGATTGCGCCATCAAGCCCCCGTCTCACTTCATAGTGGAATTGCGGGTCAACAACTCTCACTGATTGACTGTTCTGTCTAGACACACACACTCACCCACACACACGCTATGTTGTCTGTGCCCAGACCGTGGACTTGGGCTATTTTTCTTTAAATATAAGTAGATTGGATGTAGGCACCGTAGACTTTTTTTCCACTCGGAGATTTTATGCGTTGTGTTGTCGAGCGGGTAAAAAGGAATATACTTTTTTTTGTGTTTGCTTTTCCTTTTTCTCTCATTATTGATTGTATTGGACGTCCCTTGCATACGGTCGGTGATTGCTTGACTCAGGGTGTCGTCTTGTGTCACTGAAGTGTTGCTCAACCTCTGTCTTGTATCGTCGTTGTCGTGATGGTGGGGAAACAGTTCGAGTTCGAGGACCCGAAGGATGGTGTGGTGCCTCCTTTCGAGGAAAAGAAGGTCGTCGATGAGGTCTATACCGAGAATGATGTTGCTTCGGAGGAGATCGTCAAGGATTGGGATGACAAGGAGGAGGGCAAGCTGCGGAGGAAGTGAGTCGTCCCTGTCCCTGTCGTCCATTCACTGCTATATGGGTATAAGCATATACTGACTGGTATATAGGATTGATATCATCCTCATCCCCATCCTCGCTCTCGCTTTCTTCGGCCTCCAGATCGATCGCGGCAATATCAGTGCTGCCCTTACCTCCACTATCACCGACGACCTGGGCGTCACCACGAACCAAATCAATATCGGCACACAGTTGCTTTCGGCTGGTATCGTCATCACGGAGATCCCGTCGAATATTATACTTCAGCGCATCGGTCCCCAGATCTGGTTGTCGACACAGTTGGTCGCTTGGGGTTTGGTTGGCACGTTTCAGGCTTTTGTGCAATCGTATCCGGCGTTTCTGGCCACGAGGTTGTTGTTGGGACTGTTGGAGGGAGGATTCATTCCTGGTTTGTCTGGTCGCCCTGTTTGGTCTGTGGTGGTAGGGCTAACGATGGGTTTGGTATAGGCGCCCTGTACTATCTCTCGACATGGTATAAGCGTCCTGAGACCAGTTTCCGGACGACTCTGTTCTTCTATGGGCAGATGTTTGCAGGAGCGACGTCGAGTCTAATCTCGGCTGGTTTGTTGAAGCTGGATGGGAAGTGTGGGCTTGCTGGGTGGAGGTGGATCTTCCTGGGTAAGTGTCCCTATCCTTCGACATGAATAAATGAGAGGAGCTAATAATGTGTAGTTGAGGGCCTGATTACCATCTTCGCTGCTATTCTGTTCATTATGTTCATTCCCAAGAGAGCAGGTGATGGAAGTCCTCTCATCAGCATGGGTCGCTGGAGCTACTTCTCCCCTCGTGAGAAGCGCATCATCATCGACCGTGTTCTGCTTGACGACCCTCTAAAGACGCGAGAACATATCAAGATCACTGGCCGGGATATCTGGAAGACGGTCACACAACCCACGACGCTCCAGCATATGTTCATCACATTGGTGGCCATGTCCGGCTTCCAGGGCCTGAACACTTACACTCCGAGCATGATCAAGTCCTTTGGGTTCAGTGCCGTCAGAGCAAATGCACTGGCATCAGTACCAGTGTATGCTAGTATTGTCTGGACGACAATTCTGGCTTATTCCTCGTATGTGACACGGGATCCTGTGGTGGGGGGAGGAAGTTGAATGCTGACTGCTGCAGGGACAAAATCGGGCATCGGGGGCCCTTCGTCCTCCTCTGTATCACCTGGAACGTCATTTCGTATGCGTGTCTACGCACCAGTCCTACAGATGCATCAAGCTGGCACAAGTATTCTGTCATTGCTATTGCTAATGTAGCCTACTGTAGTATGCAGTATGTACCCTTTGGTCTCCCTCAGATATCCCGTTTGATGCTTATATGCTAATTGTGGATAGTGTTCTCAACGTTGGGTGGCTTTCCTTCTACTGCAAAACACCCCAAGAGCGGAGTATATCCATGGCGTACGTGTTACACATACCCTCATTAATTCCCGTAAAGGTAATACTTGCTAATGCGGTGGCACAAATAGGTTGATCGTCATGTCCGCCAACCTTTCGGGTATCTCTGGAGCCCAGATCTTTCGATCCTCGGACGCCCCCCTTTACATCCACGGCCTCACGGCCATCTGTGCGTTGGCAGCCGCGTCATGGGTCCAGACCGTGGCCTTGAACCTACAGTATCTCTTCCGGAGGAAGAAGGCGCAGGCTGGGACGGTCTAAGATGCTCATCTGGGATTATGCCGGGCCATGTATCCCTGGATTTAATGATGCTACGAGATAAAAACACTTAATGATAGGCTCTTCTCTTCACACTAGATGCTCCACTCCCTCCCTTCAATCCTTTTCTTCGGTCATTTCCTTTTGTCTGCCAGGCAAAGTAGTCAAGAAACCCCCTCCCCCTCCCCTCCGGGAGCCGGAGCCTGCGTCATCAGCTGGCCAGTTCCGTCAAAAAGCCCTGGCCTCGCTTGCTGCTAGCGTGGTAGAGAGTCCTTCTGGAAAGCTATATAATCTCCCTGCACCCTGTGGGAAGTTTTCCCCTTTTTCATTCTCTCTCATGCATCTGCCCTCCTGGTCACCACCCCCGGGAGGGGGTTAGTCATCACTTATAGTTATATTCAGTTCAACTATGTCTCTATATGTTCGAAGACAACAAAAATACGTTGAACCTCGAACATGATCAGGAACTGATTGATGGGACACTTGTCCTGGATCAATAACGAGTTTCAGGCAAAGTGTACGACTGTAACGCCAACGATCCGGGTTTGCCGGCAGCCGCCCGTTGCATCGATGATTTGTCTGGGTCCGTGACCTTTTGTCCTCCTTTCTTATTTTAGTCTTTCTTATATTATTATACTGCACGTTTCTTTATATGTCACTTGTGCATCTCTGTGCTTGTGGTGTGTGGTGATGGCGGCGGGTAGTGGTCGTGAGGGTTTCCACATAAAGTCAATATTGCCCTCGCTACTACCGCAACACTATCATGTATGACCACTTCTCACTTCTTCTCCTACTTGATGGTGTTTGCATCTCACTCATGCATGATGAATGTTGTAATATCATTTCACTTCCTCATATGATCCACTATGTCTTGTGTGTGGTATCAGATTATTTGCCACTGATGTTATATTTGGTTCTTCGACTCCTGCATCGTTCGGTGTGCGGTTTCCCTGATCACAGACAACCCTCCCTCCATTGTCTCTGTGTCACAAGTCCCACACAATGTCATGCTTGATATATGCTTTGCATATATGATTGAGGATTCCGCATCACGATCCCATCATTCATTTTGCGGACTATCTTGTGCGATATGTGTTTTACATATATTGCTACTGCTCACCTCTCTCTACTGTTGCCTTCTACACACATACAAGTCTCGCTGTTCATCTCCTATATACCCTTCCAGAGTCCTTATATCACCTGACAGCTTGATGACGATACACTCATCAGACTGGTGCGGTCGTCTTCCCATCATGGTGATCATTTTCTCCATTTACGCTCCTTGACTGTGCTTCTGGTTTGGAGCAGTTGACTTCTGGCAATGGATTTGACTCTCACATTGCTTTTGTCGCTCTGCTACTACTTCCGATATCATGTTGGATCGCTGGTCATAAGATCCCCACACAACAGAACGGACAGAGTGCCCGAGATTTGCTGGAGGGACAGGGCTATAGTACCCTTGCTCTTCTACGAGCGGGCCCCGAGCGTTGGCGAGCTATAAGTAGCAATGAGTGCGACTAGTGACATGCTTGACCCTGCTTCCTATGGTGATCTCATCCTCCAGCAATTATAGCTGAAGACTCTCACATACCAGCTTGGTTTTGGTGGCTGTGGCTGATCAGACTGCCCGACTATCGCTATAAGCTCCCGAAACCCCAATTGTTCTTTCATCAATGAATGAAAAAAAAAAAAAAAAAAAAAAAACATTGGGGCTCATATATGGACTCCCGCAACAAAATCGCTCGGTTGCTTCTGTCAAACTCAAAGTCCAACAGGGTTCTTATAAAACCATGAAACACATACTGGGCGTTATATACTGCCGTCCATACTGGCTGGCCTGGTGCTGCTAAACAACGTCATCACACCCCGCCATCTGGCAACTATATGGTCCAGCGCTTCCAAACTGTCTAGGGCTCTAGCAAAGAACAATTGGTGCAGAGTCTCCCTCAGCGCAATATACAAAGATCACATTATTCATATCATCGAGCACATACGGAGCTTTTCGAGTCCAACGCTTCTTTTCCAAGCCTCTCCGAGGTTCGAATACCAAAACTCACCCATTCAGCTTATTCTCAAAACCAATAATATGCGCAGTCACTCAGCACAAACATCTGCCCGCCCGCCACTCCTCCGCCTTCGGTTGTTTGAAGGTAATCTATCATATATTCTTGCTCTAGAAAGGCAGAGCGTTGCGAATACAATCCTATTAGGCGATGATTTCTATACGGCAACGGCCAAAGGCGATTGGAGATATCACGTATCGATTGACTGCGGTGGGCTGAGCACCATGGCATTTCATCTACTCAGACTCCAGCTAAGGGAACGCCTTGGATTAGTCCATGCCCGTGCAGCAG